CAGGAGAGTACATAAACATGATTCCATTTGATACATTCAATATATCCAGACAAAATTAAATACAGACCAACATACACATTGCACACCTACAGGGACATACACAGCACTAGGGGACACAACATATTTTGTTAAATAATCAAAAAAAAATTGCAATTACCATCAATATTGTAATAGACCACGGTATTTTCATACAGCAGAATACTGTCCAGAATGAAAATGAAAAAAACCACCACACTGTCCACTACAGATGAAGCTTATGATAATATAATGTCAAGTGAAAGATTCAAAATGATAAATACAATGGAGGGATGTGTATTTAGCGTAGCAGCTAAAAGGCCAGTGGATGTACCAGTATTTCCCTACTGGGGTTCACAGGCTCAATATTTGTCTCTTTTTACAACTCAAATAAAAACAAATAAATGAAAAAGTATAAGAAAGAATATACATAAATTACAATTCCATAAATATGAAATCCAGAAATGAGCAATTTTGGGTAATAAAAAAATCAATCTACTGGTTATTTTCAGGCTGGGAAACAATGACTGAGAAAGGGACAGAAGAGGCTTCCTTAACTATGTAGTGACAATCTCGACATTCTATTTTGTTAAAATGTACTGAGCACAGTTGAGAGCATGTACGCTATCCTTCAATAAGTAAGCTAAATTAATGAAATATAAAATATTTTAAGAAGTCAGCATCCACTGACAGGACAGTTTTCTGGGGAACAGTGGTCTTCTGGAAGACTTAGTAAATCCAATGGGGTAGGGGTGCGTGACCTGCACATTTAATTATGTGGTACACTATCTATATGTAATGCAATGTTGTCACTTGATGTTTTTAAATCTTGAGTTTTTAGAAAGCAGACCAAAATCTGGATTTTGCAATAATTCAAAGCTATTGAAACACTTCATTTTTTTTTATGACTTACTTTATTTTTATTTGAAAGGTAGAGTTATGAAGAGTAAGACAGAGAGATCCTCCATCTGCTGATTCATACTCCAAATGGCAGCAACTGCCAGAGCTGAGCTGATCTGATCTGAAGCCAGGAGTTCCCTCCAAGTCCCCCACTTGGGTGCAGGGACCAAGGACCCAAGCCATTCTTTTCTACTTTTCCAGGCCACAGGCAGGGAGCTGGATCAGAAGTGGAACAGCGAACAGGCGCCATTGGGATGACAACACTGCATCCCACAGAGGCTTAGACCACTACACCAGCCCAAAGTACTTCATTTGAACAGAATGCTGCTGATAAATTAGTTTGGGTATGTTCTCAATTCTTATTTCTCTATTCAGCTTTAAAAAAAAAAAAAAAGAATAATTAAGCAAAATCTGAATTCAACTAATAAAGATCCCGATTTTCCTTAATAATGTGATTTACTCTTTCATTCAATAACCAAGTTTGCAAAAGACAGAATGTGTATTGTGGGGGAGGGCTGGTTACATTGTACGAAAAAAGAACTAGGCTTAGGTGATAGTAAAAAATTGTTGTACTCTGTGGGAGTTCAGTAAGCAAAAAGTAAAAGTGTGACACAAATGCCAACATAAGCTGCCTTAGGGAAAGGCTTTCAGAATAAGGAGGACAATATGAGCAAAATCAATTCAAGGATCAAAAAAGCCATCCTCATCGAAATCAGCAGAAAAAAAACATACCTAGAGCAATATAATTAAAATTCAAAACATTTCAGCAAGCTAAAATGTTGGCCCAACCATGGCAAGATGAAATTTAAAGACAATATAACTTAAAAACTAAAAATGAAAAACAACTATACAAGTTCAAGTGTAATAACCTCCAATGTGGGCGCTAGCATTATGGCACAATGGGTAAACTGTTGCCTATGATGCCAGAACCCCCTGAGCACCAGATTAAGTCCTGGCTGACCCACTTCCAATCTAGCTCTCTGCTAATAAACTGGGAAAACTTGAAAGCTGGGCCAAGTTTGTGAGCCCAGTGACCCAAGCTGGGACACCTGGACTGGGATTCTGGGTTCCAGTTTCATGGCTTTGGCCTAGCCCAGCCCCATCCATGGCAGCCAACACAGAGAATCTGTGGCTGTCGTTCTCTCTCTCTCTGTCACTCAAATAAATAAATAAGTTTTGGTGCTTTTTTTTAAAAGACATTTTTATTGGAAAGTCAGATATACAGAGAGGAGGAGAGACAGAAACATCTTACATCCACAGATTCACTTCCCAAATGATTGCAATGGCTGAACCTGAGTTCATCAGAAACCAGGAGCCAGGAACCTCTTCCAGGTCTCCCAAGTGGGTGCAGGGTCCCAAGGCTCTGGGCCATCCTGTACTGCTTTTCCAGGCCACAAGCAGGGCACTGGATGGGGCGAGGGGCTGCTGAGATTAGAACCGGCAGACATGTAGGGCTGCGGGCATGTAAGGCAAGAACTTTAGCCACTAGGCTACTGCACTAGGCCCTGTTTGTGCTGTTTTTAAAAATTAGCTAATGTGAAAAGGCCTGGGAAGCCCAACTGATGGTAAGGCTCTTCATCAGTCAATACTGTGTAAATGCTGATTTAAAAAGTTTGCTAGTTTATAAGCATACTACTTATAGCAAGGTTGGTAATAGGCCTTGGTGTTCTGTAGCTGATGTAAGTGCTCATTCAAAGGTATGGTTACAAAGATATGGGGGTGAGAGAGGCAGTGATGAAGAGAGGGAGCTTGGAGAAAAAGAGAGGAAGTCTTCCATCTGCTAGTTCACTTGCCTAATGATCACAACAGCCAATATTGGGGTAGGCCAAAACCAGGATCCAGCAGCTTCTTCTGGGTTTCCCATGAGGGTGCAGAGACCCAAGCACTTGGACCATCCTCCACTGGTTTCCTAGGCACATTATCAGGGAGCTGGATTAGAAGTGAAGCAGCCAGGTTTCAAAAAACCAGCACTTTAGGCAGCACCTTAATGTGCTATGCCACAGCACTGGCCCTAGTTAAGTGTTCATTTTAAGGAAGACTAACAAACACAAGGCTCCTCCAAAGACAGTGATCAATGCAGACAGAAACTACAGCTAGAGTTATTTGAAAAGAAAAGGTGAGTTCGTGATGGTCAGAGCAGGAGGAGGAAGATGGGTGGCAGAGACTAGCAGGCACATTTACAGTAACTGGCTGACACATGCAGAAGGACAGCTCAGCTAACTGCTGCTCCACAGAAGCAGATCTAGACAGAATCCAAGTTGCAGAGATTTATTTAGGATCCAGGTAAAACATAAACATCCCAGAAAAAATTGTCAATGACTTGCATGGCAGTGTTCCTTATCACACTGCCAGTATTTTGGTTTTTTTCTTATGTTTGCTTGTTTTTTTTTTTTAAGATTTACTTTTATTTGAAAGGCAGAGTTACAGTGAGAAGGAAAGATGGAGAGATAAAGATCTTGTACCCACTGGTTCACTTCCTAAAAAAACCAGAGCTGAGCTCAGCTGACCCAAAGCCCAGAGCCAGAGGCTTCTTCCAGGTCTCCCTAACGGCTATAGGGGCCAAAGGATTTGGGCCATCCTCCACTGCTTTCCCAGGCCACAAGCAGTGAGTTTGTGGAGCAAGCTGCAATATAAGCCGGCACCCATATGGGATCCTGGCAATTGCAAGGTGAGGATTTAGCCATTGAGCCATCATGCTAGGGCCAAGAGAAAAATTTAAAATAGGTCCTAAACTTATAAAACCAAGACTTGGTAGACAAAGAAAGAAAATACTGAAAGAAATCCAGGGAGCAAGAAATATCCTTCTTGAGGGATTAAAAAGGTAATTCACTGACAGCAAATTATTCACCAGGTCTGAGAGACAATGCTCAATCCAGGAGACAGATACAAGTTGAAATAAGAAAGATGCATTCACTAAATAAAGACTACAAATGTGTCAGTAATTACTGACTGCATGATCTGAATCATGGCATTCAAACCAGTGCTTACAGGTACCTTTTGCTACAGCTCCATCTAAGTATAGACTCAGCTTCTACTACCCCAGCACCGTGATCCCAACTGAGTACACCACCTTCGCCACTCAGCTCCCACTTGCAGGGCACAGAAGCAGAATAAGCTACCTCACTTACAAGAGATAACACCGTGTGTGAAGAAGTCTCTATCAAGGCTTCTTAGCATAAACTTAGGAAACAAAGTAAAAGTTCTGTTTTATAAGACAATGTACACAGTGTCTTATAGTAGTTATCTCCTGATGGGAAAATTACGACTTTCACTTTTTTCCTGTAATGTTTGAATTTTATGTAAGAAGCATGTATTTCTCTCCAACTGATTTTTTTTTAAATCAGATTGAAAACTCACTTTTTTCTATAAGAAAATGATCATTGATGTAGACATGGGAAGAAAGTATGTTTACAAACTTGAAAAAAATGAAATTAATAATTTTTAACATATAGAAAAAGACAGAAATCACTACTTTCTAAAATTTTTCCTACAGAAAGATGTAGTTCAGACAAAAGATAAGCAAGTCTCTACTTGAGGAAACTATAAAGGATGTAAGTTCCATGGGAGCAGAGATTCTGTCTAGTTATTTTTACTGCTCTAAGCACAAAATAGGAACTTAATAAACATTTGCTGAACAAATGGAGAAAAATAAAGTTCCATTTACTCTTACACTAAATTTAATAATTGCTTTCCTTATTCCTGTAGAATATCACCTTAATTCAGTTTCATCTCTAAAAACTGGCAAATTACCTAATAAAATGAATTTGTCTATTCATCAATGAAAAGCAAATAAAATCAGTTGTGTAAATGTTATTTCTGAAGCTAAAAAGTCAGTAAGTAGGATAAGCATTATTCTAAAACACTATATTCATTCTGGACTGTAATCTCCACATGTGTGATAAAAGCAGCCATATCACATCATATTATGTTCAGTAAGTGAGCAATAATAACATCATTAACTGTAAACTAGAAGTGTACAAAAAGCACAGAATAAAAATTGTATAAATGAAGTTTTGATTCTTTCAAAGTCTAAGCGCATAAAATAAGCAAATTCAAGAAAACAAACAAAAAAAAAGTGGACCTACCTTGGGCCTCTTGGACCTTCCATATAACTGCTTCTAGGAGGATCTGGAAGCAGTCCACCTGACCTCCCTGGCATGTCCTTGGCTGTAATGATTGGCTGTGGTGGAGCAGCTGAAGACTCCCCAAGTCCTTGCTCAGATGAGAATGAACCATATGGTAGAGTAGACTTGCTCAGAGGACCTTTAGAATTCATTTGATCCGACGGACCAATAGAGGACTGCAATGGAGGATGGTAAATGGAGGGTGGGGCTGAACCAAAAGACACAGGAGTGGGAAGTAGTGCTGGTCTAGGCTTCTCTGGATGCTGTGAGCTCTGAGACCCAGAGGCTGGAGGAATTGGGACTGTTGCTAGTGGTGGAGGCATCCCTTGTGGAACTCCAGGAGGCGGTATTCCTGGAGGAGGTGTAGCTGAAGACAGCGGTGGGAGGGGTATAACAGGTGGTGGTGCCGAGGAAGAGAGTGACGGTGGGGGGAGAACTGGCGGTGGCCCTGTAGAAGAGAGGGAAGGAGGGGGGAGAACTGGAGGCGGCCCTGCTGAAGAGAGAGATGGAGGTAGCCCTGGTGGGGGGACAGAGGTTGGTAGAGAAGGAGGCATCACTGGTGGGGGCATGCCAGGTGGTGGCACAGTTGTAGGTAGGGCGGGGGGCATCACTGGCGGTGGCAATGATGGAGGCAACACTGGAGGGGGTATTGCTGGTAGAGGTGGAGGCATCTGAGAATATGGCCCAAAAGGAGGTGGCATTGACATGTTCCCCATAAACTGGTTCTTCACGTTCTGAAATGTGGTGACTCTCTCCTGGAGATAGCTCTGGGCGGCCTTCATGTGCCCCTGCCACGTTTTCCACTGCTTCTCATACTCCTGAAGCTGGTCTTTGTGAGGATAGGCACGGAGCTGCTCCTCCCACAGCTGGAACTCTCTCTCCCACTCCTGGTAAAGATGCTGAAACTGTTGCTGCTGCATCTCGTAATGCCGCAGCTGCACATCCACAGACATGGTCTACAAACAAAAGGGGAACATCGGGTCAAGACACTCATGAGAAGAAGTCCCAAATGAAAGCAGTAAGGAACCAGAGACATATGAAGTCTTAGGGAATGAGATCTCAAGAAACTTTAGCAGGGCCTGGCGGCGTGGCTTAGCGGCTTAAGTCCTCACCTTGAACACCCCGGGATCCCATGTGGGTGCCGGTTCTAATCCCGGCAGCTCAACTTTCCATCCAGCTCCTTGCTTGTGCCCTGGGAAAGCAGTCAAAGCTTTGGGACCCTGCACCCACGTGGGAGACCTGGAAAGAAGTTCCTGGATCCTGGCTTCGGATTGGCATAGTATCGGTCGTTGCGCTCACTTGGGGAGTGAATCATTGGACAGAAGATCTTCCTCTCTGTCTCTCCTCTCTGTGTATCTGACTTTCCAATAAAATAAACAAATCTTTAAAAAAAAAAAAAAAAGAAACTTTAGCAGGCTAAGGATAAACCTGTTTAATCTCCTTTCAATGATAATCATTGTTCTTTCTACTTACTTATGTAATTTATCACAGATATGGAAAATCCTATTGTATATTAAAGCATACAGCTATCTCAGCAATATATATTTTTCATGTTGTTAATATTACTGAGTTATTTTAAGAACTGAAAATTGGGGGAGAGCAAATTGGGTAGCTGGGTTCAGGTCCTGGGGTCTACCTATATAGTGGGGGCTCGGTTCCTGAGCCCCAGGGACAGGGGAACTGGTGGGACTTGGGCTGCTTGGCCCAGATCCTGGGACCTGTCTTCTAGGTGGATGTTGTTTTTGTGAACCCCGGGAGTGGGGAATATAGTGGTGCTTGGGTTTCCTGGCCCAGGTCCCAAGGCCCACCTACTAGGTATGTGTCATGTTTGTGAACTCCAATGGTGGGGAATTTGGCGAGGCTTGGGTTGCCTGACCTGCGTCCTAAGCTCCACCTTCTAGATGCGTGTCAGGTTCATGAACCTCAGGGGTAGGGGACTCAGTGGGGCTCAGGTCACCTGGTCTGGGTCCTGAGGCCTACCCGCGGGGTGGGTGCTAGGTTTAGGGGGATCCAGTGGGGCTTGGGTTGTCTGACCCGGGTCTCAGGGCCTGCCTACTAGGTGGGTACTAGTTCTGTGAGCCCCAAGAGTGGGGGATCCAGCAATGCTTGGGATGCCTGGCCCGGATACTTAGACTCATCTGTAAGAACATGTCCTACTTAATGAAAAAGGTGGAGCAGGGGACACGGACCCTGTTGCAAAAGGAGAATATGGCAGCACATTTGGTGCTGCAGCAGAAGGAGAACAGAACAAACTGGACAACAACCCCAAGCAAACGAAGAGAGGAAATAACTTTGGTGAATGGAGCCAATGGACATTGGGAGGGTGACACCATCCTCGGATCAGTGAAATCGGCAGCATTTCAGAATTATCCAAACCACTTGGACAGAACCTTCAGAACATGTACACAGTGAGACTCTAGGTTGATATGAGGTGGCGGTTCCTCATTCCTGGGTACTGGGATTTGTGGAAAGTCATGCATGAGTGGTATTCCCTTTTGCCTTTCCCTTTTCCCCAGGAACAACAAGAAGAAATAGCAAATTTGGAAGCAATGAGTTCACCCAACTTTCCCTAAATCTTGATCCTTCCCACCCTGATCAACCATGTAATCATTATTTTTAAAAATAACATTAAAGGGCCCGGCCCAATAGCGTAATGGTTAAGGTCCTGGCCTTGAACACACACAGATCCCATATGGGCACCGGTTCTAATTCTGACAGTTCCACTCCCATCCAGCTCCTTGCTTGTGGCCTGGGAAAAGCAGCTGAGAACGGCCCAAAGCCTTGGGACCCTGCACCCACTTGGGAGACCTGGAAAGAAGTTCCTGGCTCCTGGCTTCAGATCAGCGCAGCACCAGCCATTGCGGCCACTTGGGGAGTGAATCATCAGATGGAAGATCTTCCTCTCTGTCTCTCCTCTTCTCTGCCTTTCCAATAAAATTAATAATAATAATAATATTTTTTAAAAAACCTGAAAATTGGGGGACAGCACCATTACACAATAGGTTAGGCCTCTGCCTGTGATGCTGGCATCATATATAGGTGCTGGTTCGAGTCCCAGCAGATGGAAATGTTGCATTTCCAATCCAGTTCCAGCAAATGTTCCTGGGAAAGCAGCAGGATGGCCCAAGTCCTTCAGCCCCTGCAACCACATAGGAGACTGGGAAGAAGCTCCAGGCTCCTGGCTCCAGAGCTTCCTCTGGGTCTTCCATGTGGGTGCAGGGGCTCAAGAATTTGAGCCATCCTCCATGCTTTCCCAGTCCATAAGCAGGAAGCTGGAGTGGAAGTAGAGTAGCCAGACTTAGAACTGACAACCATATGGGGTGCCAGCACTGTAAGGAAGAACATTAGCCTTTGAGCCACCACACCGGCCCCAATTTTTAAAATTTATTTATTCCTTATAAAAGTCAGAGTTATAAAGAAAGAGGCAGAGGCAAAGATAGAATCTTCCATTTGCTTGTTCACTCCCCAGAAGTCATAATGGCCAGGGCTGGGCCAGGTGACTCCTCTGTGTCTCTCAAACGGGTGGCAGAGGCCCAAACATTTGAGTCATCTTCTGCGAGGCCACTATAGGCAGCTGGATTAGAAGTGGAATAGCCAGGACAGGAACTGGTACCCATATGGGACACTGGCGATGCAGGCTGTGGCTTTTACCTGCTATGCCACAATTTTAGTCCCATAAAACTATTTTTTATACTTTCAACGTAGTGAGATGGAAGAACAAAGGAGAAACAGAAGAGAGAAATACACTCTCACACGCTGGTTCACTTCTGAGATGTTTGCAAAGGCTGGACCAGGGTAGAAGCCAGGAGCCACAAATGCTAGGCAGGTATCCCCACTCGAGGGACAGGGACCCAAACAGTTGAGATGCCTCCCAGGGTGTGCATCAGCAGGAAGCCAGAGTCAAAAATGAGAGCTGAGTATCAAGCCCAGGTACTCAGATTTGGAACATGGGCATCTTAGCCACCAAATGCCAGCCAGGCCCTCACATTCATTATCTTTTACATCACATTTGCTTAGATTTTCTTGGTGAGGGTTGTTTTAGTCTTTTGGGTGGGTTTATTTTCTTGTCTGTTAACTAGGGATTTGCAGCAAATCACAAGCAAACTTAGAGCTACATGACAAATTCCTCAGCAACAGTACTCCAGCATCTGTCCTAGGCTTACACACTAAAAGCCTTCACCACAGCTACCACACCCCAATCCCCAGGGCACCCCAACTGATAAGAAAGTGGGCAACCCTTGGAAAATAAGTGTCAACACTCCACACTGTTTTTCACACTTCTTGCAGGAGTTAACAAATCCTTAAATGTCTTAGAGCAACAACGACCGTGTGTCCGCTCCAGAAGCACTCGCCTGCATATGTGGCGGCTGCTGTATCATCTGCTGGTACTGCTGCAGGATCTGCTGTAACTGGGTGTGCTTCTGCATGATTCCCTGATACTGGAAGCCGACCCGGTGTTGCTGGTGCTGCTGCCAGTGCGCTGCTGCAGCCTGCAACTGTTTTAATCTGGCATTTTCTTCTGGGTCCTCAGACTAAAGACAACAAATGAAAGTTTCTTTATGCAAGTCATCAAATAAAAAATCACACTAACATCTCATAAATGTATTATCAAATCAAGATATGGTTGACAAAAGCCATTCTAAAGCACCTAGCTTCATCTTGTTATCATGGATACTCACACACAGTTTATCAACTCCACACGCCTCACTTTTCCTAGAACAAAAACGACTTCATCAGCAGGAAGTGAACCTACAGTGATAGCCTTCTTCACTCAAGAAGCCATCCCTTCCTTTTGGGGGGCAATGGAGTCACTTATCACCAGTGGAATACAAAGCAGTCATTATGGATCAATGAAATTTTTACATAAGGTTCTTGAGAGACTAAAGACCCCTGGATGGATGTGAGAATTTTCCATGTGCCAATTATTACAGTTAAGATTTCAGCAACTCTCCAAGTTGACTTCTGGTTGGAAAGTGCATGTTTCAGATGAAAACACTGAAAACACTTGCCCACAGCTGTCATGAGCAAGTGACAGGACCTGGACTGCAGCCTGGACAGTCTGACCTTAAAACCTGGAGCTTTAAACCACTGCCCGGTGCGGTCATCATGAACACATCCTGGCATTTCCCTGGAGTGCTGAGACATTCAGAAAACTTTCTGATTTTTCACTCTCAAACTAGGAAAAAAAATCTCTCTAAACATGATGTTGTAACATACTACATTAGTACAAACACAATTTTATCTAAACATGAAAACACAAAAACTAAACAGCTTCACAAATACCAAATCATCGTATGGTTACCTGGGGCTCCTCAGGTGGGAGAGGGGGCGCAGCCTCTTCCTTCAGAGGAGGTAAGGGGGGCTCCTCAGATGCAGGCGGTTCTGAAACTTGACTTGTGCCAGGCACTGTGACTTCTTCTTTCACTGGCTCTGGTGCATCCTTTGCTACCACAGGACCCTTTTTGTGGCCTGGCAAATGCACCTTAGTCCTCTGCTGCAAACTGAGCAAGTGCTGTCGATACCAATACTGCTGCTGTTCCTACAACAGAAACCATTTTTAAGGATCTTAATTGACAGGCATCTATCTTTGCAACTTGGTAGTAACAGGAAACTACACCAATATGAGTTCAATTGTCTATATAGGTAAGAAAGGCAAAGATGGTCTGATAGAGGCAGTTTAACAAAAAGCTGGAAAAAAAAATCCAGTTTCCCTCTCAAATTGATACATTTAATTCAGCATACGACTTTACTACTTAAAATGTGCTTCTAGGGACCAGCATTGTGGCACAGCACATGAAGGTGCTATCTGCAATGTCTGTATTCCATATGTGTTCCAGCCGCTCCACTTGTGATTCAATTCTTGCTGAAGGTCTGGCAAAACCAGATAACCCAAGTACCCAGGCTCCTGTCACCCTCACAGCAGACCTGGAAGAAGCTCCTCGCCTCAGCTTGGCCGAATCATGGTTAATGAAGAGTCAACGTGGAAGTGAATCAGCAGAGGGAAGACCTTTCTCTGTTTCTCCTTCTTCCTGTAACTCTTTCAAATAAAAAATAAATAACTCTTTAGGGCCTGGCATGGTGGCCTAGCAACTAAATTCCTTGTCTTGAAAGCGCTGGGATACCTATATAAGTGCTGGTTCTAATCCCAGCAGCCCTTCTTCCATCCAGCTCCCTGCCTGTGGCCTGGGAAAGCAGTCCAAGATGGCCCAAACCCTTGGGACCCTGCACCCACATGGGAGACCTGGAAGGGGCTCTGGCTCCTGGCTTCGGATCAGCGCAGCACCAGCCATTGCAGTCACTTGGGAAGTGAATCATTGGACAGAAGTTCTTCCTCTCTGTCTCTCCTCCTCTCTGTATATCTGCCTTTCAAATAAAAATAAAATAAATCTTAAATAAATAACTCTTAAAAAAAAAAACAGGGCCTGACGCAATCTTCACAATCAACAAAAAACAGCAACAATCAACCAAACGAACGAACAAAAAAACACCAAAAACTTGCTTCAGGAGAGAACAGCAGATGTCTTGCTAAGCAATAAAAGTAAATTCTGTCAATATTCTAAGTATTTAATTTTGGGGATGGACAGTACCTTTTATTTTTTTAAAGATTTGGTTATTTTTATTGGAAAGACAGATTTGCAGAGAGGTGAGAGAAGATCCTCTGTCTGCTGGTTCACTCCCAAGTAGCTGCAATAGCTGGAGCCGAGCCAATCTGGAGCCTGGAGCCAGGAACTTCTTCCTGGTCTCTCATATGAGTGCAGAATCCCAAGGACTTCAGCCATCCTCCACTGCTTTTCCAGGCCACAAGCAGGGCGCTGGATGGGAAGTGGAGCGGCCAGGACATGAACCAGCACCCAATTGGGGATGCTGGTGCTTGGAAATGGAAGATAGCAGTAAGTTTTATTAATTTTCTTGAGAGGCAGGGAGAGACTATTGCTGGTTCACTCTCCAAATGCCCAGGAAGAAGGAACTCAAAGATCTCCTATGTGGGAAGCAAAAATTTAACTTATCACCTGATGCCTCCCAGGATATGCATTTGCAGGAGGCTGGAATCAGCAGCAGAAGGGATTCACACCCACACATTCAGTGATATCAGATGTGGGCAGCCCACGCAGCATCTTAACTGCTACACCAAACATTCATCTCTACTTGTTCTTAATCTCCCTTTAATCTATACAGATGAATCCACAGGGGCTCTTATGTAATGAGAATATCCAATCTGCCTTTTGATCTCACCAGTGTTCCTCCCTTAATTTTTAAAATTTTTATTTGCTGGGCCTGGTGCAATGGCTAAGTGGCTAAAGTCCTCACCTTGCACGTGCCAGAGTCCCAAAGCCTTGGGACCCTGTACCCGTATGAGAGACCCTGAAGAAGTTCCTGGCTTCATATAGGCTCAGCTTTGGACACTGCGACCATTTGGGGAATGAACAAGTGGACAAAAGATTTTTCTGTCTCCCCTTCACTCTGTGAATCTGCCTTTCCAATAAGTATTTAAATAAATCTTTAAAAAATTTTAGAGAATACATTTAAGCTTCATTATTTGTGAATTTGCTACTTACTAAGATTTTTATATCTAATCCTAAAATCCACACTCATCTTTCCAGGTCATTCATGAACATGCAAAGGTCCATGAAAACTGCATGTGGCTTGGAACACAGTGATGCCCTGCTTTTTTGTTTCTACCTTCTCTTTAATAAACAAAGTACCCTTTTTTCTTTTTTTTCTTTCTTTTTTTTTTTTTAAATTGGAAGGTCAGATTTACAGAGAGAAGGAGAGACAGAGAGAAAAATCCTTTGACCACTGGTTCACTCCCTAAGTGGCTACAACAGCCAAGGCTGAGCTGTGCAGATCCAAAGCCAGGAGGCAGGAACTTCTTCTGGGTCTCCCACGTAGGTACAAGGTCCCAAGGCTTTGGGCTGCCCTCCACCGCTTTCCCAGACCACAAGCAGGGAGCTGGATGGGAAGCGGAGCTGGAAAGAAACCAGCTATAAGGGACCCTGGTGCATGAAAGACAAGTACTTTAGCCACTAGGTCATTGTGCCAGGCCCAAAGTATCCTTTTCATGATCTATTTAGTGCCTCATTTTCCACACTTGGTTGCGCTTTTGCACTTTAAAATGGCCCTCAAGCATAGTGTTCAAGTGCTGCTCAGTATTTTTTCTCCCCCCCCCCCTTTTTTTTAAGATTTATTTTATTTGAAAGGCAAAGCTACAGAGAAAGAGAGGGAAAGACATCTCCAAGCTCCCCTCCATTGATTCATTCCTCAAATGCCTACAATGGCAAGTGCTGGGCCAGGCCAAACACAGGAGCCTCATTTGGGTCTTCCGTTTGTGTAGAGGCCCAAAGACTTAGGCCATCCTCTACTGCTTTCCTAGGTATATTAGCAGAGAACTGGATTGGATGTGTAACAGCTGAGAATTGAACTGGTGCACAAATGGCCAACACTGCAGATGGTAGCTTAACCAGTCACACCACAATGCTAGTTTCACTGCCCAGTGCTGCTGCTTTTTTTTTTTTTTTAAGATTTATTTATTTTTATTGCAAAGTCAGATATACAGAGAGGAGGAGAGACTGAAAGGAAGATCTTCTGCCTGATGATTCACTCCCCAAGTGACTGCAATGGCTGGTGCTGTGCTGATCCAAAGCCAGGAGCCAGGAGCCCCTTCTGGGTCTCCCACACGGGTACAGGGTCCCAAGGGTTTGGGCCATCCTTGACTGCTTTCCCAGGCCACAGGCAGGGAGCTGGATGGGAAGCGGGGCTGCCTGGATTAGAACCAGTGCCATATGGGATCCCGGTGCATTCAAGGTGAGGACTTTGGCAGCTAGGCCACCGCGCTGGGCACTGCTCAGTGCTCCTAAGAACAATAAGCTGTGATGTGCCTCAGTGTTGCTGGCTGTAATGTTCAAGGTTTGACTGGTTGATGAGAAGGTAGCCACAGAATCACCTAACTTTGCATGTCCCCAGAAGCAATGGTTCAGAGCCATAATTCAGGTGACCAGAACTGCAATGCAGAGGGTTAAGCCACAGCTTGAGACACCAGCACCCTGACAGCCCAGGCACTTGCCACTCATTCCAGGCTTCTTTCTCCAGCCTGGACCTTTTGGGGAGTAAACCAGAATGAAAGGTCACTCTTCCAAATACATAAATAAGTCATTTTTTTTTAAAAAAAAGCAGCAATTGTCCAGTATTCACTAATTCAGAACACAAACAAGAAAATTTTTTTAAAAAGTATAACCAAAACAAGCAAAATCTTAAAAATGGAACGTTCAGATAAGCAGTGACTAACTGAAGCATCACCTCTCAGAAACAACTACAAGGGGGGGGAAGAAAGAGAAACAACTACAGGACTTCAATATCCTAGTAACCATTATATAATACTCCAGCTACAAGGGTGTTTAAGAAAAAACAAACGTTGCCTTAACCCTAAATTGTCCAATGAAGAACAGCCCCATCTACCAGCACTTCTATGATTCACAACACTACACTGACGAGGCTGTAAGATCTTATGACCGCTACACTGGAGAACTTCACAACCCGTTACTGACAGTTGGGCATCTGACAGCAGTGCTTCAATACAACAAGACAGGATCTTACAATAAGTGATGTAAGAGAGAATGACCGAAATACCAAAGGTTGACAGACAGTCCTGCAAAAACTGGTAAATCCTTGCAATGTGTTTTCAGTAGATCTAAAAATAAAAAATGATATAGAATATCACTGTAAAACTTCACACCCAAAACTGCAAAGAAACCAGATTTGCACTTTAACATTCAAATATAATCACATTTATTAAAAGTCTGAAATTTGCCTATTCTTATCATTTTGAGATTTTTTTTCGCAGACTATGTTCCAACAAACTTTACTTTTTACAATAATCTTTTGGTCTCTGTGTTAAATGAATTAATCTGCTTTTATCTGTCATTTTACAATCTTTGGAGAACCAGGATTCTTACTTTAATATTTTATTACATAATTCCCCCCAATTTTCCATTTGCAAATATATATATATATATCTTTTTAAAACAAATTACAGATTTCTTATCTTTTTAAATAATTACTTTTTCATTTAAAAGGCAGAGTATCAGGGAGCAAGAGAGAAAGAAAGATCTTCCACCTGCTGATTCACCCTCCCACAAGCTACATCAACCAGGGCTGGGCTAGGCCAAAGCCAGGAGCCAGAAAATCTATCTGGGTCTCCCCCAAGTGCCAGGGATCTGAGTCCATGGGCCATCTTCTGATGCCTTCCCAGCTGCATGAATAGGAAGCTGAAGGGGAAGCAGAGCCCTGGGACGAACGAAAACCAGCTCTCCTAAACAAGATGCAAATTATAGCAAGCAGTAATTAAATCTACTGTCCTACAACACCAGTTCCCTTACTTTTTTTTTTTAAAGGACAGTGTTTTTGGGCCCTGTGCGATGGCATAGTGGTTAAAGTCCTCGCCTTGCAAACCCAGGATCCCATATGCCTGCCGGTTCTAATCCCAGCGGCACTGCTTCCCACGCAGCTCCCTGCTTGTGGCCAGGGAAGGCAGTTGAAGACAGC